GGTCATCGTTGCGTCACGGGCAGGCGTGGGGCGCTTCCTGTCGCCTCGCGTGGGTGTGGGGCCTGGGAGCGGGGCCGCCTGGGCGCCGCCCCTGCGCTTCTGCCCGCACCCCTGCGCCTTCTGGGCAGGGGGAACGGATCTCATTTCAGGCTAAATTTTTTTCTCGTTCGGTGCGTTCGAGGTGGGGATAAGCGCACGGTCTGAAGCGTCACCCTCCCTCGGGCACAGACCATCAACCCAGAAGACCTTGGTCTGAGTCACACGAGTGGGGGAAGGGGTGCCCGCAGTTCTGTGAGGCCGAGCTGGGCCCAGGTGCTGCGGAGAACCGGCCCACTTGGGGAGGGAGATTCTAGCCAGTGCGTTCGAGGGCCTATTTACTCTGGTGGGTTCTGTTTAACTCTGTCTGTCTGGCCTTTTGCTAGAGAGACCAGATGCGAAAATAAAGACCATTTAACTGCAAAGTCGACTGTCTGGTGTTCTTCCCTGGTGGGGAGGAGCAGGGGGGCGGCTTCCTGAGGCCGCAGAAACCGGCCCGACCGGCTCCCACGTGGGCGGGAGGGACTGGGCCCCCTCTTCCCAGCCAGTCCACTTCCGTCTGGGCGCCCTGGCGCCCTGACTCCTTCGAAATTCCCCTACAGCCCTGGCTCGGTTGGGTAGAGCTTCATCATTATACGCCTAAGTTTTGGGGTGCATCCCAGGTCAGGACTCCCGACAAGAAGCTACCCGTGAATGGGTGGGTGTCCCAGCAGGTCCATGTTTCTCTGTAAAATCGGTGAATGAAATCAAGAAATAAGTTCCCCCTGCAAGTCTGGGAGAGCGAGGGCTCTCACAGCTCACATAGGTTTGGGGGGACACTGCTGGGGACCGTGCCACGCGCAGTTGGGGAACACGCAGGTTCTCCCCACCCGGCTGCACCTGACCCACAGGTGCCGTTCTGGCGAGGCCCCACGGGGTTGGGGGGCAGGGAGCTGAGCAGGTAAACTTGGGACCCCTGGTGACACCATGTTCCAGTCTCTGGCTGTGGATTTGTTTGGCTCAGACGGGGGTGAGCGCCCTGCCTCAGTTTCCTCCTCTGTGGGGTCTGCCTGGGAACAGCTCCCCCGGAGGAGCTGCAGGTTTGGAAGTGCTCCTGGGAGCCTTTGTCGTTGGCTTGGCTCCGCCCCAGGGGAGAAAGTCCTCATCATTCCCCCAGCGCTGGCCCCGCGAGGGCCGTTGGGAGGACAAAGGAGCCGCAG